CGTGCTGCCCGTTGGCCCTGCCCAGCGCCAGGGCAAGGTAAGCATCAGGCCGGGGGCTGGCAGGGCGGTGGGGCTGGATGCTCGCTCGCTGCTCATCACACTCGTCTTGTCCCAGGAGCAGGCACTACAGGGTGAGATCGTGGCACTGCGGGCCCAGCTCTCCGAGAGGGAGGATGCTCTGCAGAGCGCGGCCAAGCGGCTGCGCAGCACAGCCCAGCTCAAGGACAGCATGGAGCAGTTCATTGTGAGCCAGCGTACGTGGCCCCGGTGGCATCCTGCTGCAGGATGGCACAGCCAAGCTGTCCTGGTCCCCATGTGCCTGGGGTGGCTCCATAGCACAGGGACTTCACTGACCCCCAATCTCTCTCTCCCTCACAGTGACCAGGACCCACAACGTGCTGCGCAAAGCCAGGACAAACCTGGAGGTGAGTTTGCCCTGGCAGCCAGCGTGAGCTAGGGGTGGGTGCCCCTGCCCTGGAGCCCTGATGCCCTGGGGATGGGCACAGATGGCAGACACCTATGCTCTGCCAGCAGAGTGGTGGCTGATGGAGAGGGGGGCTGAGGGGCCAGCTGGGTGTAGCGTGTGGGTGGGCGGGCACACAGGGACCCATTTTCCTTGGCTGTCCCCAGCCTCCGTGTCCATGTCCCCAGGGCACAGCAGTCCTCCGGCGCAGGCCTGCCTTGGCAGTGCTCCCCCTTATTGCCGCACATGCTCTCTCGCCAGGTGAAGGCCCAGCAGGCCCTGTCCGTCACGTGAGCCCCAGGCAGGGCAGGGAGAGCTGCCCCGGCTGGGTGGCGGCCGAGCCATGCCATGCCGGAAGGCTGGAGTGGACCCTGTCCCTGCTACTCCAAGGGCCGGGGTGGACAGGGGTCTGGGGTGCCTGGTGCTACACAGTTAGTGGGTTTGGGCCACTTTGGTTGTTGCATGCCCTCCACCTGCCTTTGCCTGGCATCGCAGCAGCAGCTGCTGGCTTGGGCTTTGCCTTGCCCCATGCTTCAGTGCTCAGCCCCTTCCACCCACAGTGCTTAGAGTGGGGCGTCACAGCCCTCCACGCTGTGCACCCCTCGCCCGGGGACTTGGTCCCATTTGCAACCCTGCTGCGTACCCGTCCCTGCTCGTGGATGTATGTATATGTATATAGATAGAGGTATCGGAGCTGCGGTTTGGGGGCTCCTCGGGCATGTCGGGGCCCCAGCGCGGGAGGAAGATGTAAGAAATGCCATGTTCTGTTCAGTGGTTGGAGAATCCCCAATAAAGGTTTCCTTTGGGTTGTGGTGTTTCTGGCATACCCATCTCTGCAGCTGTGCTCCCCCTCCCCAAGCTACCTGTAGCGCAGGGTGCCATAGGCACCAGCCGGCCCCAAGGGGGTGGCTCTGAGCTCCACCCCAGCACCCCAAGGGCAGCTCTGCACCCCACCGGGCGCTCCCTTCCCTCCCCTCGCTGCTCCAGAGTCCCCCACCAACAGCAGGCCAGCAGCACTGAGAACAATAAATACTGTAATAAATAGAGAAAACGCTGTCACGTGGCACTGCTCCGGCAGCAGGCGGTGTAGCCGGGGTTCTGGGGTACCTGCACTGCTCCGCTCTCCCCAGGCCCCCTCCAGCATGGGCGTGCGCAGGTGCTCCTCTGGCTGTGACGGTCAGCCCTGCCCCACAGAAGCACTCCATGTTGGGGACAGGGCAGGCATTCAGTCCTTGATGTTGCTGTCCCGGCGGCAGGTAAGCACGGCTGCGTCCAGCTGTACCCTCCCTCCCACTGGCTCGACGCTGAACCTGGCAGAGGGCTGGGGCTGCAGGTAGCCAGAGCTGAGAGCCCTCCTTGAAGCTGGGGAGCACAAGGAGGGGGGCAGCCCCACACTCAGGGCTGCGGGACAGGGGTCAAGCTAGGGTGTCCCAGAGCCCCTAGGGATCAAGGTGGCCTTGGAGGCTCATCACCAGGACAGCACAGCAACCTTCAGCAGGTAGGACACGTTCCTGGAGGCCTGGGCTGGGGGCAGTGCCAGGACCGCCGTGGAGCCCTTGCAGGCTGCAGAAGACAGGTAGTGTGAAGCCCTTGCCATGTCGGGTGCAAGGAAAGGCTGTTCTGGTGAGCAGCCAACAAAGTGGCCCCAGAGACTCACAGAAGCCAAGGGGAGCTGTAGGTGGGCAGAAACCAAGGGTTAAATCAAACCACACCAGTAGGATGGGACAGTGTCACAGGCCCCAGCGGCCTTGGGCTCATTGCCGGAGCCTGTGTCCCTGCCAGGTTCAAGACTGGAGCCAGTGGCCAGTTCTCACACAGTCCCGTGGCCCAGTGTGTGCAGACAAAGCGGTGTTTCGTGTCCTGCGTGGGGGGCGGACGAGGCCCCGACTCAGATGGGCTTGTACAGCAGCGTGGTGACGTACTTCTTCTTGTAGCGGTGCGTGGCACTGAGCACCATCACGCCATCCTGCGAGAGGCACAGCGTCAGCAGGAGCAGGTGGGAGAGCTTAGCGCAGCCTGGCTGCGCCGACTCGGGAGCACAGCACCCCCAAGGCAGCCATTGGTAAGAGGGCTCTGCGGGCTGGGGAGCAGCCCCAGCCCGTCCCTGCTGTCCCAAGCCTCACAGCCAGCGAGACACGTCCAACACCCACGACAGGGAGCCAGGGCAGAGCGAGGGAAGGGGCTGGTACACAACAGGAGAGCCTAGGGCTACCCAGCTCCACCACACTGTGGGGAGGCAGCTACAGGGAACTAGGGGCTGTAAGGAGACTACAACCTACATTCCTGCATGTGCCACACTTCACTGGGCAGCCAAGCTGTCCTCGTGTGGGTCCTCCCATCCTGGACACCACTGTCTCCACCCCACGGCCGTCCAGGTTCTGATCCTTGCAGGTGCTGCAGGCTCCTGGGAGCCACAGCAGCTCCCCTTCCCTCACCCAGCGGTCTTGCAGGACCTGGCCTTACCTTGATGGAGAGCGCATAGAGGTGATTGAGCATGACGTGATTGGGTTCGGGCAGCAGTGCTGGGTCACACTAGGACAAGAGGAGTGTCACAGGGGAACAGCAGAGCCCTGACCCCCTCAGCCCCAGCCATCACAGGGAGCTGCCATCTCAGGCAATCTGAGCTGCTGGTGTCTCTGGCTGTTCTGAATAGGAACAGAGCTCAGCTAAGCACCAGGCAGAGCAAGGGGCCAAACCAGAGTGGTTAATGTGAAAAGTGATGCTCTTCCCAGTAAATGGCAAGGTCCAGACACCAGCCAAGGGGAGATCAGGCTCCCTGCAGACAGGACTCCCGTTCTCAACCCCAGTGTGGCTCTCTGTGTGCAGGCAGTATGCTGGTACCCACCGAGATATTGGTGTCCTTGTTGAGGATGACCTGGAGGAGGTGAGGCGGGAGGATGGGTGGGGATTTGAAGCGCTCCTCGGGCCGGTATACATACATCTCTTGGCCGTAAGGACCAGGTGGTGAGCTTGATAAGTCTAAAGAGAAGAGACGGGAGGAGACATGAAATGGCTAAAACAGGACTGGCGAGCACAGAGCAGCTCCCAAAATGCTGAGAGGAACCCAGCAGGGTCTTTCAGGCACAAACATCTTCCATGAGCCATGGCCATGTATTCTATAGCAACAGCTCAGCCTTTTCACAGAGGAATAAGCAGCCAGGCGAGCCCTGGGCATTTCCAAGCAGGGCTGTAAGCTGGTATGTGCATTGACACAACACAAGCACCCTGTGGCATCCACCCCAAGACCCCGGCGCACGGCTCTCAGCACAGCTGGGTCCCTCTCCCTGCAGCAAACAGCCAGCTTGCCCCAGAGCTGTACCTTTTGCAGCAGGGGCACAGCAAGCAGCACTCCTGCACGCTCTCGGTGCTGCAGGACTGCCTGGCGAGGATGTCCCAGAAAGGGCAAATGGGAAGTCCAAACTGAGCAGCTGCTCAGCCTGTATGAGGGACCGCAGGAGCTTGTGGTCACTAGAAGCTGGACTGGCCATATCTCCCAGCCACATCTGATCTGTTTCGGAACAGCCAGCACCCAGAAGCACTCCACCTCCCTGGAGCTCCTGCTGCTTGCTGGCTTCTTTCCAACAAAGTATCTCCTGCCCAGGCTGGGCAAGGACGTGGAGCTGAGGCTATATCTGAGACGGGGTTTGTAGCAGGGACAGCAGGCCGCACTCAGGGCGCCCTGGACTGAAACACGACTGAGCTACCTGCCGGCCTTATACACCAAGCCAGCACTGCTGGTGTCCGCGTGGTAACCTAACCTGCTGCTGTAACACAAGTGGAGAGGGAGGCTTCTGATGTGCTAGCACTAGTACAAATTACCTTGGCATGAAAACAAAAGAGTGGCTGCTGAAAATAACCTGGATCCTGCTCTTGCCTAGCTTGTACCCCAGATCAGATGACTTACTCACAGTTGAGCAGACAGAAAGGGGTGATGTTCCCGGCATTCACCAGTCTGAAATGGCTGCCTCAGCTGCGCACAGGCACTGACCCTGCTCTGGGATGGTGCTAGCACAGAACGAGTTACACCAGCACAGCCCCTCCATGGAGACGAGGCCTCAGCTGTGGGCTGCCAAGGACATGCTGCCAAATACTACTCTTCCCGGGTGCAGGCCCACACCTCTGCTCAGGGGGTCTCTTCACCCCCAGAGCAGCAAGTCTCAGAGCAGAGGAGGTGGAAAATAGCACATGCAAAGCTGTAATGCCACAAAAACTCACCCCGACCTGAGGTTTCTGAGCTCTCCAGGGAATCCACCTTCAAAGCATCGAACACCTCGAAGTCAGATTTCTTGACGTGAATCAGGTTATTAATCGTCCCCATCTGGCTGGTGACCACAGGCTGGAGAGAACTGAGGTAAGAGTCTTCCTATGTTCACCTCCAATCGAAGCACACTCAATGCTTCCTAGATCCTCCCGGCCCAAGCTGTCTTTGCTGCGCCATTACCTCAGAGCACAGGTGGCCAGTGTCTAGCTCTGCTCTATGCTTGCAGATCTCCACTTGCAGATTTCCCTTTACTCCCAGGCTCCTACATCACCTCCTATATTCATCCTCCATCCTGCTACATGCCAATGGTAAGTGTCCTCTCCTTCCCATGCTGCTACCACGTGATTCAGTTTGGAGGAGAACCTGCAACTGAATGCTGACCCCATGGCCTGTCTTCCCATGTAGTCAATTCTGAATGGGGCTTAAAGGCCTTCTGGTCGTTTCCCTGCTCCTCAGTACCTCCCCGACACTCCCCCATACAGCTTGTCTAAGCCCAGAGGAACCAGCCTCTGAAAGGACTCACACGATGGAGATGCCCCTTTTGTTTTGGCAGATACCCTCTGCTCTTCCTGCTCCCCCTCTGCTGCAGTTACATCATGTCTAGTCCCCTGAAGAGGGCAAGATCTGCAGGGATAAAGCTTTGAGAGTTACCTCAGACGGGTCATGGACCCATTGGCCATCCACAAAAAATTTGTACTGGTGCTCTCCTTCTGGGAGGTCCAGGATAGCGACAAAGTCGTTGTGGCTGTGCAGAGACAACAGACGTGCAACAGCATTACCCTGGTGATGCTCTGGATGCTGTTCTTCCATGGGGTCCCAGAAAATGGCACTTTTTCACATACTGCCCAGCCCCTCCACCCCAACACCTGCATGCAGAGTTAGGCTTGTTCATCGTCAGTGATCTGAGGCACGGATACAACAGACGCGAGCGTTCAGAGCACTAGCTCTAGGAGTCCAGCCGCAAGGAGTGCAAGAGGCAGTCCAGCCCTGCACACCCAGGGAAAGTCGATGTGACAGACACCCTGTGCAAGACACACTGGGAAGGATGCATGGGCAAAGCATCTA